CGTCGACCATGGGCTACAAACGCCCACTAGTCCCAGGGTGGCAACACCTCAAGAAAAAAACGCCTATAGGTTGATATGCGAGCGAGAAAAAGAAGACTGATAATAAGAAACGCTACAATTACTTGTATGGCAAGCATTTGTATGCTCTCGTGAGATGCAAAAAGTAGATTATTGAGTCCTTTTCGTAGTAACCAACGTCGTTACATCAGTAACTTGAACGGGAGGAAAAGTTTGAAACAGAATTTCATGATTTTAGATCGGCAAGACGTTAGCTTTGTTCTTATTTATACTACAGCGTTCTGAAAGTAACTGTGCATTAGCTTAACAGTTTTTCTTCAACTTCTTAAAGAACTTCGGACAGCTGCTTTTAACGGGGTATAGAGGACCGTTCTGAGTGACTGTCACTTGTTTTGATCACCAAAAAATGATACTTTTGATCACCAAATTTTCCAGCATCACATTTTTATACATATAAACATATAAATTTTAACAAAGACAATATTTTCACAGTTTTATTTACATTTATTTACAAATTTAAAGCTTTACTAACTTTCTTGCAGAGCTGTCAAATTATCATTATACAGTATAACTATCAACCGCACGAGAAACTTCAGAATTTCAGAATTTCGTACTTATCCTTATACCGTGTGCGATAGTCACTCTTATAGAAAATGTTAGCATTTCAGAATTTCAGAATTTCAAACTTATCCTTATACACTGCGCGATAGTCATTCTTATACGAAATGGTGTTGGAACAGCATATGTCTCCACTAATTATTCTGGGAACTAAAGACTTATAGGTGATGCTCCGACGGAGGAGGCAGCTGAGGAGGGGGAGCGGCCGGGTTGTGAGTGTGAGTGGTTTTCCCGTGCTTCTTATGCTGAAGTGCCTAGCCAGTACAGGGCGTTTGCGCAGTTCTTGAACCGTAAACTACCTCACTTTTTCTCTTGCAAGGCGCCAACATACCTCTTTACACCTTAAGTTCAAGTACTGCACATGTCGGCATACCGAAATTCTGAAATTCAGACATTTCGTATAAGAGTGACTATCGCAAACAGCATAAGGATACGTTTGAAATTTTAAAATTCTGAAATGCTAACATTTTCTATAAGAGTGACTGTCGCACACGGTATAAAGATAAGTTTGAAATTCTGAAATTCTAACATTTTCTATAAGAGTGACTATTGCACACGGTATAAGGATGAGTTTGAAATTCTGAAATTCTGAGGTTCTGAAGTTTCTCGTTCACTTCGTGATTATACTGTATAAGGATAAGTTGACAGCCCTCAATAAAATTGCCAATCCAACTGAATGTTTACATGAATATTGTTTCATGTCAGCGGGACAGCTATATGATTGTAATGGTGCAACTAGCCAGCAGGATTGTTGCCACAACAAAAAATCATTAACAGAAAATGGATTGGTGTCACAAGGCTTCAACCAATCACCCAACATGGTCTCAATCTTTGGAAGAAATGACGACAGATGTAATTTATTTCGAAGTGTTCGACATTGACATACACCATGTGATTTAGCAACAGCTTTAACATCATCAAGTAAATTTACTATACTTAATAGTAGCCAGTTTGATGCTGACATTTTTACAAATGAATAAACTTTAAGGATACATATATAAGAAGAAGCAGAGAAGAGATGGTGAAATTTGACTGTTATGATGAATGAATAAAGAAGAGATGAAGAAATTTGACTACACACATTCAACCAGCTTTAAATTTGTAAATAAATGTAAATAAAACTGTGAAAATATTGTCTTTGTTAAAATTTATATGTTTATATGTATAAAAATGTGATGCTGGAAAATTTGGTGACCAAAACTATCTTTCTTTGGTGATCATTTGTATCCAAAAGCGTGTGGTGATCAAAAGTACATTTACTCGTTTTTAATCATCTGCGTATTCTAAAGAAGAAGGCTTCTTCTTTTCTGCTCATATCGCATTTTGTTACGAATGCCTTCCAGTGCACAGTTATAAATTGCAATAATTTTCGATGCTTTTTATTCAGTACATGAGTATCGCAGTATTAGATGTATTGGAACTACATAACCTTGAATTGTTTTTTTTTCCTTGTATTATGCCGGTATAAAATACAGTTACTTTTTGTTTTATTTAAAACAAGTCTCGGCCCCCTTTTTCTCGCATGATGCTAAAAAAGTGTTATGTTTTTCAAATAAAACAGAGCAATGACACCACAGCATCCTTTTAGACACAAACTTATATAAATTCAGCATTTAATTAATTATATATAAAGAGTGAGCCAAAAGTTTTGGTCAATTTTTAAAAAATTGCTTTTTCTCCTTTATTACAAATCCAAAAATGTTCAAAGTTGGACATTTAAGCCCTTACATATAGATGAATATTAATTTTCGTATTTCTAGGCCCAAGTATAACGGAGATATATAGGGTCGTATGATGGAGCAGATTTTTTTCCTATTTCCTAAAAGTAAAATAGCGAAAAATTCTATGAAAACAGCAAGAGAAAAAAGTTGAAAGAAAGACATCGAAATGAGAAAATATTAAGATAGTCATGTCGAATCGAATTATATCTCACGGTTAATTAGATGTCTATAGTATATTTGTTTAAATGCCTTCAACTCTGATTGGATATAAATAAACGTATGTATATAGTCCAGGTGTTTTGTTATATGGTGGAATTTCATCTCGTGATTTGATTTCAAAAGATTCACCAGTTTTTATAGACGAATGGTTAAAATCAAAATGTAAAAAGATTAACAAAAAAAAAAAAGATACTGTGGACAGACCTTTTTTATATTAAATTAGTGGAACAACAATTGAAACCTCATATCGATCCATTGTATGATAATGTTAATGTGATCTGACAAGACGATGGTGATTCCAAACATCGATCTTATTTTGCATTAGAGAAAATAGACGACATTTTTGACGACCGTATTGAACCCCAAGCTGATAAAATGGCCGATATCTGGCCGATTGAAAACATCTGGAGTTATATTAAAGAAAAATTAGCAGGAGAAAAAATCGAAAATTTAATAACCTTGAAAAAAAGAATTGTAAAGATCTGGTGAATCGCAAATGTGTTCAGAATTGATAAACTCAATACCAAGAAGATTACAATGTTTAATTGATAAAAATGGTTATTTAATCAACACAAAAGACTATGATGACATGAAAATGTAAAATAATCTATTGTCTGTTATTGTATAAATAGTGAAAGTTAATTATTCTAGATGTTTCTTATGAATAAAACTTTTTTAAATTTTTTTGTGACATGCGAAAAAAATCTGCTCCATCATACGATCCTATATATCTTCGTTATACTTGGGCTTAGAGATATGAAAATTTAGGGTAATATTCATCTATATGTAAGGGATTAAATGTCGAACTTTGAACATTTTAGATTTGTAATAAGGGAGACAAAGCAACTTTTTAAAAATTGATCAAAACTTTGGCTCACCCTTTATAACAGGGAAAATAGGTGAATAAAGTAAAAATCATTTCATAGTTTCTTCATCAAATTGTTCATTTCATATAATACTTTGTGCCAAACAGTGTTGTTCAAAAGGCCTTCCTCTTAGATGCTACATACATGCATTTGCTAAACCCTTTCTGCTTCTCATTTGAACATTAAATCATCGTTCTCAGCTTCTTTAGTTCGATTTTATTAGAGTATATATCTCATTTACACAGACATGGTTATTTCTTGTCGCTAACAGAGATAGCACAGTGGGCATTTTTCTATAGAGCAGGCGGACATATGCTGTAGAAGTGATATGAAAGCCTATAAACACGTTTTTCTATAGGTTTTCGAATATGCTCTTTCTAATGATGAGATTTTCAGAACCCAAAAGTAATTCCTTGTGGGTTTTCTGGAGACTTGATCTCTAGAAAACCCATAAAAAATATTTTTACATTTCGAAAACCTCACTATTGGAGAGATCATATTCGAAAACCTATAAAAAATGTGTTTATAGACTTGTGTACTATTGCTAAAATAAATATCCAAATTCCTAGCAACATTTGCTGCGGACAGGCTTTCAACTGTATAATTCAGTTTGACGAAAATATTTCTGCAGAAAAATTAAAAAGCTATATATCATTCGATGCAGTTTTTCACGCTGATTCCGAATATGGCCTTACTTTTAAGAAGAAATGCTTTTACGGCGCTGAAAACTTCAAAATACCTCGAAAACTCTATGGGTTTTGAAAAATTCATAACTCGGCTTAGACAAAAAGTTGACAAAAGTTGATTGCAGGGTAGATACAGCATGGTCTAGGGAACGTTTTGGTGTACTTAGATGTTATTTTAGACCTTCGGAAAATCTCGGAACTCGACTATACTGAGATAGTGTCATTTCGGACTGACGTGATGAAGAATTTTGGGCTCTTACCTGGGAAATTTGGTGTGGAAGTAAAGATATTTTGCTATCAGTAGATAGCTGAAGACATGCTGATTCCAAATATGTGCTTAAAGTTCACCAAACCAACTTAAGTCAGCAAATAATCGTAACTTTTGTGAAGAGTACTGATATTTATAATCAATTTTCAGTGCGCGTTTCTCGCTCGAAGGATCCATTATCAAATAGACATTCATACATCATTCGATAGAGAATTTCAAGGACTACATTTTGCACTATTTATATTTGAAAAAAGAATTACTTCGATTTTCGGCCTAATGTCTGGCTAGATGTCCACTGTGGATAGGTGAGTACGTAGATTCTCGAGTACGAGTACTGGGCGTCGAGTATGAGTACGAATATTTTCTAAAAGAAGAAGATACTCATAAAAAAGTTTTAACTACCTAACAATAGCCGTTTTCAATATCTTTCTGGTTATCTGTTGAAGGAGTGTTAGGTTCTAGGATGTTATCTATACATTTCTTCGTTAGAATTCCTTCAAACACGTTTATTTTTTTAAATCTTCTTAATGATGGTATACAAAATTGCTCATCATAGCTATTTTCACAGTCATTAACATTATTACATCGCTTGCTATAAGATATACAAGGACCAAAATCATCGTTGATCTGACAAGCAAATTTTCGTTTTCGACATTTATTCTTCGAATGATTGTCACCGCACCGTTCTACATAAGTTGGAATTTTTGCTCTTTGTTCATTCTGTTTGATTTATCTAACTTTAATAGAAATAATTTGTTCTAGTCAATTTACTATTTCAATACTGAAGAGTATCATACGAACAGGATAGGGTTTAAGTGGTTCTATGCGCTAACCAACAGAAATTCCAAATGGCTGACATGTCTAAGATTAAGCAAAGAGCTATTTTATTCTTTTTCTCAAAAATAATGTTAGTATGTGGACAGCGATAAAAAAATATGCTTCTTTCGTACACTTTGTCGTTTCTTTGTATTATCAATTCATTGGATGAAAGTTATAGATTTAAACAAGAATCAATGAGATTTCATTTCCTGTTTTCAGTTTTTTCTGACCAGCTACGATTATCGAGATATTCACAAAAACAGCGCCCTCTATAGTATAGAATAGTGAATATCTCGGTAATCGTTGCTGAACTGAAAACAGGCAATAAAATCTCATTTGATTCTTGTTTAAATCTGTAACTTTTATCCAATGAATTGATAATACAAAAAAACGACAAAGTGCACGACAGAAGCATATTTTTTTATCACTGTGCATGTAATATGCGAATAAATGGAACTTTTTGCATAATAATTAAAAAAGCCCGAACTATATGAATTCCGCCAAGAAAATATTAAAATAATTAAATAAAAAGAAGTAAAGGTCAACAGTTGAGCAACCAGTTCGCAGGACGACTCACATATCTGGTAGAGAGTCAGGAAGTGCCACTTGCCAGAGAAGTTCTTTTCGAAATTCATTACAAACCTTTCACGAAAATATGCTATAAGAAAAAGAAATTTTCTATAAGTTGAACTTATTATATGATTGTTGTTGTGCAGATCTTTTGATCTTTCCATGTCACAACGTTAATTACTACGAAAATGAATATACAATCTATCTTTTGTAGTCCACGAGAGTATAATGACCAACGGTTGGTGATTCTGCTATGTTTTCTCCACTTTAATCTTTTGTTTAAGTTAATTAAGGCTTATCTGTTCCAGAATGGATCTGATGAAATCGATCCTTTCAAAGATCCAATCTTCGATGATATTTTTGGCAATTTTTTAATACAATCGCAGAAGTAAATGAAATGATGTAAATTTAGTACTATAATAACCGGTTTTTCTTTAGTTCAATCAAGAAATGAAGTTCAGACAGCATTTAGCGTATTGCAAAGGACAAAGTCTCACGAATAAATCTGAAGTTATTAGAGCTATTTATAGTTAAAACAGAGATGTTAAATATCTTTTAATACGCTGTGCGATACTTAATGAATTGCCTTTATTAGATAATTACTGCCCTTTTAGATACTAACTGCGAACATTTTAATGATTAAAAGCAGCAAGTCTCAAAAACAGGCATTAGGTGGTGATCGTTTTAAGTCTGTTTTATAACAGCTTTAAAATAATTCTGTCTTTCAGCCCACAGTTTTAAGTCATAATCAGCTGTGTGTTGTGGATAACCCAAGAGGTGACTAATCATTAATCCTAGGTATACTTCAAAAAGAC